TAGTGTAGACATACCCTTAGTTAGTCTCCTCTCCCAGGGTCCTGCCTGTCCAGCACTTGGGTTGGAGTCTCCCATTGTGCTCAGATGGTGCTGATGAGTCAGTGGCTCCCATGGGGCACTGAGTTGCCGGGGTGCCCTCCCATGGATGGAAGGGGTGACTGAACCCCACAGCTAGGACGGCCAGAGGTCCTGTTTTTAAAAAGACAGTCTCCTCATTTTTTCAAAAAATGGCAGATTGTCCCGTATTTTCTGTCTCTTCCCTTCCTACTGCTGGCTGGATCCTTGCTTGCCAGCTGCTCACTGGCAGTGAGCGGGGGTGGGGAGAGCTGACGCTGGGCTGAGTGTGCAAGGCTGGGCAAGGCTAGTGGTCAGGCAGAGGTGCAGTGGGCAGAGCCGGCTGCTCCCCCTGCTGGTCCATCGGTGCAGCCCCTGCTCCAAGCCCTCTCTAGGCCAGTGGGCTCCCCATCCCGCACACCACCCCATTTCTGACCTGCACTGGCTCCTTGCCACCATGCCTGGTGAGCGCGGGCGGGTGGTGCTGGGTCACATGTCATTTCTGCTGCCCTCCCATCAGCGTTTACATGCTTCCTTCTCCCTGTCCTTGCCCTGCTGTGCCATTCCCCTCCCCTCAGCCCCACGGCCCCTCCATGTCCTTCCCTTGCGGGGTGCTGTGCAGAGAAGCAGCCGCTGGTCGGCTCATTCAGTCACCAACTGCCTGGCTGGCAGGCTCCTTCCTGTCCCCACCACCTCTCAGAAACTTACCCTGCACAGCCAGCACACACACTCAGTGTCACTGTCACACACCCAGTCTGTGCCACGCTGTCTCAGTGCCCCCCACAGTCACTGTCACGCATATTGCCATGCTTCATTTGCATAATTAATTAGGGGCCATTTTTGCACAAGAGGGTGTTTTTTGCACAAAAAGAAGCTGTTTAGATGGTTCCTTTTTGCACAAAACCCCCTCTTCCGCAAGAGCCGTTCTTCCTGAAAAATGAGGAAGAACATCTCTTGTGCAAGAGGGGATTTTTGCGCAAAAAGGAGTGGTGTTTTTGAACTATCTACACAGCTCCTTTTTGCGCAAAAGCCTCTTGTGCAAAAATAGCCCCTAATTAAGTTTGCAAATAAAGTGCAGAGATATTCTACTCTGTGCTTCATTTGCATAAGCTTTTGCAGAAAAAGGGTGCAGTATAGACGTAGCCTTTCAGAAGAAGCTTTTTTCAGACGAGGTCTTTTTTGTAGTGTGAGAGAGTCCACACTACAAAAATGCATCAAAAAAGCAATCTGCTTTTTCGAAAGATAGCATCCATTCAGTGTGAACGCTTTCTTGCATGTAATCTGTGATTACTATGGGTGGAGTGGCCACCACAGCACTTGTGCTTTTTCTTCTTTCCTCTTCTTTCAAAAGAACTTCCTCTTCCCTGTCCACACGCACCTTTTTCCAAAAGAGCTCTTTCAGAAAAAGGCTTTTTCTTCATAGAATGAGATTTAATGCCAGAATGCTAGAAAAAACCCTCTGTTCTTTTCATTTTCTTGTGGAAGAACGCAATTGCAGTGTGGACGTTTCTCAAGTTTTGTCAGAAAAATGGCAGTTTTTCCGAAAAAACTCTGTAGTGTAGACATATCTGTGTCACAGAGTCTGTCTCTCACACACGGCATCTCTCTTTCACACTCACGCGCTCTCTGCCTCTCTGTAGCCCCGCCCTTCTGCCTGAGGCCCCGCCTGTTATCAAGAAGGGCCCCCCTGAGCTAGGCAGTATTTGTTTGTTCCCAGGGGTCAGTCAGTTTGATGTTAATGTGAAGATTCGTACTGCACAGGTCTGTGATTGCTATTGCGCTCCTTGCACAAGAGCAATTTCACCAGGCGTCCTGTGTGCAGCAGAAGCAAATATTCACACTCTCACTCAGAGTCTTGCTTTCTCATTTAAACATCCAGGCAGAACAGGTTTAATGTTTCCCACGAGGAGGCGGTGCACAAGCATACACCCAGGGTATTTCTACACTTGCACCCTAGTTCGAACTAGGGATGCAAATGCAAGCATTCGAAATTTTTGAGCAGTAACATTAGTTCGAACCAAGGGCTTTGGTTCGAACTACCACGTCCCGGCGTGCACTTCCTGGTTCGAATCAGCTGTGATTCCAAATAGCGCGCTAGCGAGATCATGCTAATGAAGCACGGGATATTTAAATCCCCGCTTCATTAGCAATTTAGAATGCCTGCATTTGCATCCCTAGTTCGAGCTAGAGTGCAAGTGTAGACATACTGTGGAGGCAGGAAAAGGAGAATAAGGGAATCTGTGTGCACCCATCTTAGTCTTGTTAGCAAGAGTCAGGCTAATTCTGACTCTTGACAACGCAAGAGCTATAATAAGACTCTGCCTTCGCCTCTCACCTCCATATGGAGATAAGGATAGAATGCTGACTCTGGCAGGGACCTTGAGATAAGGAGCATCTGGGTGGAACTAAAATAATTGTTAGCCGTTGGCAGGGCTCAACAATTAGGGCAATCTACTCACCCGTGGCGAGTAGATTTTAGCCCGGCATGTCACCGCAGCGCGATCAGCGCATGCGCAGCGTGGTCTGTACCTGCATAGCGTGCCAAACCGGGCAAGTGGGGTTCGCTGCCACTTGTCAAGCCCTGACCATTGGTGTTTGTAATGGGAAGGAGACTAATTGTTTATTGTTATTCTATGTAACAGATAGTATATAAACTGCTTCATAATTGCTTGTATTCGAAGATCTGCCTGGGGGGGGTCTCTCCCCCCCGTCCCAATCAGGCTTCCCTTGCAATATTGCTCGAATAAACTGCATCTGGCTACTTGTTGCTTACAAACGCAGAGTGAAGGCTTGTTTTCTTCCACAATACCCATACAGACTAAGGATAGTCAGTTGACTAGTCAACCAGTCGATTCCCCCCTTGCTGCCTCTATCACATAGAGGCAGCAAAGGGGGGGGGGCAGAGAGGGTACTTCAAAGTGGCAGCACTGCACAGCTGAGCCAGGGATCCGCTGTGTGGTGCTACCGCTTTGAAGCACTGCTTCAGTGTTTCAAACGGGCAGACCCGTGGAGCTAGGGATCCTCTGGGGAGTGCCTAGCTGACCCTGGACTTTGCGCGGCATGCAGCACAGCATGGAGCCTGAGGTCAGCAGGGGACTCTGAGTCTCCACTGACCCTGGGCTCCATGAGGGCGCGGTGGCTTTGAAATGCACTAAAGCCCGCGCTGGGGACTCTTCTGACTTTCAAAGGAGGAACCCTATTGACTAGTTAATTAACTGCAATTTAACATCCTTAACACAGACCCCTCCACACAGATCCCCCATCCCCCGCTACCCCCTACAGCCAGCAGTCGCTGCTGCTCTCGGTGGGGACCCCCGTCACCTTGAAATCATTCACTTGGAAGACCCAGCGCCCTGGAACCCCGACGTTGCTCGTCTGCCCGATGCGGAGGACAGCCTCCGTGCGGGAACCCGGGATGTTGTAGAAGTTTTTGTTGTCACCGCTGTTGAACCCGGCCTGACGGCGGAGACACGGGGAGCAAATGAAGTTAGTGCACTTGCCTGTCACTGGGGTAGTGGGGGCAGCACTGACTGAGCAGAGTCCCCATATCTTTCCATGTAGCCCAGCGCCCCCTGCTGAGGCCCCCCACCACTCCCTGCAGCCCAGCACCCCCTGCTGAGGCCCCACCCTAATCCCCACACTCCAGCGTCCGCTGCTGAGCACCCACCCTGCTCCCTGCAGCCCAATGCCCCCTGTTGGGTCCCCACCCTCACTTATAATGTTCCTTCATGCTACCTTCTCATGTGAGCTGTGTAACGGGACCTACCTGGGCGGGTTTACCCCCTAGGCCGGTGGTGGCGTTTCCGCCACTCGCCGTGCCTGTGGTCCACTGGATCATTCCATAGTTCAGCATGATGAAGGTGACTTGGCCGTCGTTTGCCAGCACGGCCTGGAACGTGTTCACCTGTAGCAGAGAGGGAGGAGACCCAGGTGAGGGGGACCATGGGAGCTACATAGACATGGGAACCACAGGGTCCAGCACCCCGCTAGCCATTCCCCTGGAAAGCCCCTGATTGGTGACTATGGCAGTGAAGCCCAGCAGTTGCACAGTTGTGGGAACACAAGGGTCCTGTCTGGGGCTTTGTCTAGACCACAGGCTTCTTTCGGAAGAAGCTTTTCTGGAAGAGATCTTCAGGAAAAACTTTGTCCAAAAGAGAGCGTCCACACTGCCAAAGTGCATCGAAAAAGCAATCTGCTTTTTCCACACTGAATAGACGCTCTCTCGCACATAAGCTGTGGTTACTACAGGCAGAGTGACCACCAGGGCACCTGTGCTTTTTCCTCTTTCCTCTTCTTCTAAAAGAACTCCCTCTTCCCCATCCACACACACCTTTTTCCAAAGAGCTCTTTCGCAAAAAGGCTTCTTCCTTGTAGAAAGAGGTTTACCGATGTTGGAAAAAACCATCTGCTCTTTTGATTTTCTTTCAAAAGAAGGCGACTGTAGAGTGGATGTAAGTGCAGTTTTTTCAGAAAAGCTCTGCAGTATAGACATAACCTGGGTCTAGCAGCCCCACCAGCTAGTCTCCCTCCTGCCTCTCCCCTCCCCAGGTGCTCAGCTGGAGCCGTGGGGAGTGAGGTGTCACATACCTTCTGGGAGGTGGAGCCGTAGTAGGCCACGCGGTCCCAGGTGGCCACAAAGGCCCACGTGGCTGTGAAAGGGATTGCTGGGAAGTACTGGTTCATGTCTCTGGTGAGGCGACGCAGCAGCCCAGGGTCCTGGCTCTCCCGGTAGTAGACGTCCCCACCCAGTATATTGCTCACATCACCCCAGTAGGGGGCCACAAAGGGGCGGCCATCAGCCAAGGGGAAGGGGTCGGGGGTGTACTGGGAAACGGTCACGCCGAAGGACACCACGCCATTATTGTTCACCTGTGGGGGGGAGGGGAGCAGAGAGGTGTCTGTAGGAGCACAGCAGAGCATGGCTATCCCCTCCTTGCAGCACAGCACCCCCTGCTGTGCCCCCTGCTCTGCACCTCACAGCACAGCGCCCCCTGCTGTGCCCCCTGCTCTGCACCTCACAGCACAGCGCCCCCTGCTGTGCCCCCTGCTCTGCACCTCACAGCACAGCGCCCCCTGCTGTGCCCCCTGCTCTGCACCTCACAGCACAGCGCCCCCTGCTGTGCCCCCTGCTCTGCACCTCACAGCACAGCGCCCCCTGCTGTGCCCCCTGCTCTGCACCTCACAGCACAGCGCCCCCTGCTGTGCTCCCTGCTCTGCACCTCACAGCACAGCGCCCCCTGCTGTGCCCCCTGCTCTGCACCTCACAGCACAGCGCCCCCTGCTGTGCTCCCTGCTCTGCACCTCACAGCACAGCGCCCCCTGCTGTGCCCCCTGCTCTGCACCTCACAGCACAGCGCCCCCTGCTGTGCTCCCTGCTCTGCACCTCACAGCACAGCGCCCCCTGCTGTGCCCCCTGCTCTGCACCTCACAGCACAGCGCCCCCTGCTGTGCTCCCTGCTCTGCACCTCACAGCACAGCGCCCCCTGCTGTGCCCCCTGCTCTGCACCTCACAGCACAGCGCCCCCTGCTGTGCTCCCTGCTCTGCACCTCACAGCACAGCGCCCCCTGCTGTGCCCCCTGCTCTGCACCTCACAGCACAGCGCCCCCTGCTGTGCTCCCTGCTCTGCACCTCACAGCACAGCGCCCCCTGCTGTGCCCCCTGCTCTGCACCTCACAGCACAGCGCCCCCTGCTGTGCTCCCTGCTCTGCACCTCACAGCACAGCGCCCCCTGCTGTGCCCCCTGCTCTGCACCTCACAGCACAGCGCCCCCTGCTGTGCCCCCTGCTCTGCACCTCACAGCACAGCGCCCCCTGCTGTGCCCCCTGCTCTGCACCTCACAGCACAGCGCCCCCTGCTGTGCCCCCTGCTCTGCACCTCACAGCACAGCGCCCCCTGCTGTGCCCCCTGCTCTGCACCTCACAGCACAGCGCCCCCTGCTGTGCCCCCTGCTCTGCACCTCACAGCACAGCGCCCCCTGCTGTGCCCCCTGCTCTGCACCTCACAGCACAGCGCCCCCTGCTGTGCCCCCTGCTCTGCACCTCACAGCACAGCGCCCCCTGCTGTGCCCCCTGCTCTGCACCTCACAGCACAGCGCCCCCTGCTGTGCCCCCTGCTCTGCACCTCACAGCACAGCGCCCCCTGCTGTGCCCCCTGCTCTGCACCTCACAGCACAGCGCCCCCTGCTGTGCCCCCTGCTCTGCACCTCACAGCACAGCGCCCCCTGCTGTGCCCCCTGCTCTGCACCTCACAGCACAGCGCCCCCTGCTGTGCCCCCTGCTCTGCACCTCACAGCACAGCGCCCCCTGCTGTGCCCCCTGCTCTGCACCTCACAGCACAGCGCCCCCTGCTGTGCCCCCTGCTCTGTACCTCACAGCACAGCCCACCTTACTGTGCCCTGTCTGGTGATTAGATTAGATTAGATAGAGGGGTGTCTATGGGCAGGGATGGTAGAAAGCTCTGTGTGGCACCCTGTCACTGGCTGCCTGTAACACATGTGCTGTGGGGTCGACAGCGGGCTCAGCCCTGCCGTACGTACATAGAGGAAGTGATGGTCCTTGCCATAAAAGGTGAAGCTCATGGAGATGGGGATCTCCGGTGACGCCCCGTCGTCATCTTTGGGATTCTGCCGGTCACTCTGGGCTGGGCCGTAGGGATACAGCAGGGACTCTGAGGTGGGGAGAAGGTGCCTTGTGAGAGCCTGGAGCAACTCCCTCTCCATTGGCCCTCGGAGAGCCACTTCCCAGCCCAGTCCAATGGCCTTTGGCATCGGCGATGCCCCCACCCGGTGTCAGGAGCTCCCCATTGGCCTTTACATTCCAGAGCCACACTGAAGCAAAACAAGTTCCCACAATCCTCCCCGAGCCCTCCAGCCCAATTGTTACCCCACCTCCCATCTTGATTCTCCACCTACCCCTCTCACCCAGCCCCCTGCCCCAATCCCCATGTCATCCATAATATAACCCCCCTCTGATTTCATGAGGCATAAAGGATCTGTCGACGAAAGGGTCTAGACTGCGGTGCTGAGCCAACAATCAGCTGATCGGTACAGCACGGCGGCCATTTTGATTTAAAGGAAGTTGCGATTATTTAAATTGTGGCTTCATTTCCCTTTGCCATCGTGACTAATCTACATGGCTCCGTCAACGGAGCCATATAGTTTAGACACACCCCTAGTGAAATCGTTTTCCTAATATCCAACCTGGACCCTCCCACCACAACTTGAGACCATTGCTCCTTGTTCTGCCATCTGTCACTACTGAGAACAGCCTTTCTCCATCCTCTTTGGAAACTCCCTTCAGGAATTTGAAGGCTGCTATCAAATCCCCCCTCCTCCACCCTTCTCTTCTGCAGACTAAATAGACCCAACTCCCTCAGACTCTCCTCGTAGGTCATGTGCTCCAGCCCCCTAATCATTTTGGTTGACCTCCGTTGAATCCTCTCCAATGCATCTACATCCTTCCTGTAACTGAGGGCCAAGAACTGGACACAATACTACAATATGATGGGGGCTAATTTAGCTACAACTAATCAGGAAAGAGATCTTGGAGTCATCATGGATTTTTCTCTGAAGACATCCACACAGTGTCCAGTAGAGGTCAAAAAAGCAAACAGGATGTTAGGAATAATTAAAAAAGGGATAGAGAATAAGATGGAGAATATCTTATTTCCTTTATATAAATCCATGGTATGCCCATACCTGGAATACTGCGTACAGATGTGGTCTCCTCATCTCAAAAAAGATATACTGGCATTAGAAAAGGTTCAGAGAAGGGAAACCAAAAAGGTTGAGGGTTTTGGAACGTGTCCCATATGAGGAAAGATTAAAGAGACTGGGACTTTTCAGCTTGGAAAAGAGGAGACTAAGGGGGGATATAATAGAGGTCTATAAAGTCACGAGTGGTGTGGAGAAAGTGAATAAGGAAAAGTTATTTACTTGTTCCCATAATATAAGAGCTAGGGGCCACCAAATGAAACTAATCAGAAACAGGTTTAAAACAAATAAAAGGAAGTTCTTCTTCACACAGCGCATAGTTAATCTTGCCTGGAGAGGTTGTGAAGTCTAGGACTATAACAGGATTTAAAAGAGAACTAGATAAATTCAGGGAGGTTAAGTCCATTAATTTCTATTAGCCAGTATGAGTAAGGAATGGTGTCCCTAGCCTCTGTTTGTCAGAGGGTAGAGATGGATGGCAGGAGACAGATCGCTTGATCATTACCTGTTCAATTCAATCCCTCTGGGACACCTGGTATTGGCCACTGTCGGCAGACAGGATACTGGGCTGGATGGATTTTGGTCTGACCCTGTATGGCCATTCTTATGTTCTTATGAGAGGCCTGCATGGAACGCAAGCGCTTTCCCACGTCCCCGAAAAAGCAGGGAACAGAGTGAAAAGGATACTGAATCCCTGAGCACACGGCTGCTGCTCCCCACCCAAAAATGGCATCCCTGCTACAGTCCCCTCCCCTCAGCCCGCTGCTTCTTTTTATGTCACCTGGCCAGGGCTGGGAACCAGGAGCCCCCGCCTCCCTCCCTCCCCATGTGGTTCTGGCATTAGCCCGGCTCTTGCTGCTGCTGCTCTGTGTGTGTGTGTGTGTGTGTGTGTGTGTGTGCGCGCACGCGCGCGCGCGCGCGCATGTCTATGGGTATGTCTAGACTGCATCCCTCTGTTGGCAGAGGGATGCAGATTAGGCAGGTCAACATTGCAAATGAGGCAGGGATTTAAATATCCCATACCTAATTTGCATAAAAATGGCCGCCGCGTTTTGTCGACTCAGCACTTGCAGGAGGCATAAGGAATCTGTCGAAAAAGGCTTTCTTTCTCCACAGATCCTCTGCTAGACTGCTGCTTTTTGCCGACAAATCTAGAAGGGCCAGATTTCTAGTTAGGTCCTGGCTGGGTCTGTCCCCTGCCCAGTGGGGCAGTGGGGTCCTATAGGTTAGAGTTGTGGGGGTGGGGAGTCAGGACTCCTGGGTCCTGTCCCAGCGGGGGCAGTGGGGCCCTATGGGTTAGCACTGTGGGGATGGAGAATAGCTTCTCGGAAAAAAACAAAGATGCCCGCACAAGCTGGTATTCCATCATTGGCACATTCACTGACGTCTACCACCACCTTGAACCAGGAAGGGGAGCTCTCGTCACAGAGAGAGGCCACTTTGTACATCCCACTGTAGAGGAGTTTCCCTTTGGCGCCATCAAAGGTCGTGAAGTAGGCACCTGGAGAGATTATGCACCGGCCTTCCTGCTTCACGCAGCCATGCATCCCATCCCTGAGGACACAGATCTCATCCGCGAGGCAGCTGGTTTTCTCACAGATAAGCCCCCCTGATGGGTGGCAAGTGCATTTCTCTGAGCAGTCACTGGAAATGACACTCTCCCGGGACTGAGGGAAATTCCAAAATAAACAATAAAATAACCAGTGTTCCAAACTTTCAGTCAGGTCCAATATTAACTTCCAAAGACCAACAGCAACTGCAACAATGTCAAAATGCCTACGGGAAGTCTCCCCGTAAGGGGACTAAAGACCAGAATAGGAAATACAAATGATAGCGGTAATGACCAAAAAGAACAGGAAGACCCAAGAAACAAGGCGAAGATGACAAAGGACAGTGATGATGACCAAAGAAACAGAAACTTTGAAGGATGATGGTGCCAATCAAAGAGGATACCAATCAAAGAAAGAAAGAAAAGATAAAGGATGACTGGGCAGATTAAGGAAACAATCAACTCCAGGATGACAAGGACAGGGACAGAAAGAAGGAAGAGACGAAGGATGTCAGTGCTGACCAAGAAAGAAGGAAAAGACAAAAGACAATGGTCATGACCCAAGAAACAAGGACAGTTCTTTTTCTATTTTTCTATGGCAGTGCCTAGGTGCCAGTCAAGAATGACACCACAGTGTGCCAGAGACACTCTGTAAACACTTCAAGAGACAGCCCATGCCCCAAAGAGCTTAACATCCAACAAGACAAGGCAGGCCAAGGAGAGGGGAACATAGAGAGGATAAGAGTGGTGACCAAAGAAAGAAGAAAAACACAGTGGAAGAAGATGCTGATCAATCACAGGCAAGAAGGAAGGTCGGGGTGACAGATCATGATGATGGGACATGGAAATGACATCTGAAGAGAAGGAGAAACATGAGTGAAAATCAAAGATCAGGGGATGAAGAGGGAAAAATTAAACCTCGATCTGTTATACTCACAGGCTGTGTTCTACGTGGTGGAATCCCCTGGAAACTCTTAGGTGACTCATACTTTTGACCACTTCAGCTCTGTTATTTTAAGACTCCTGAGGCACCAACTACACAGAACAGCCAGAACCTACCTTGATGTAACGTCCACTGTGCATGCAGCCACACCTGTCCATGGACACGCACTCCTCCCCATCGAACATGGAGCCGGCGTCACACTGGCAGCCCTCAAAGCACTTCCCGGTGCACTGGGCAGGGGCGGACAAGCTAGCGCAGGTGAAATCACAGGACCTGGTGCACAGCTCGTAGTGGCTGTTGGCCGGGCAGGCCAGAGCTGGAGAGAGAGAAGCAAGAGAGAATGAGGATGGAGAAAAGGTTTTTACAATAATTTCCCTTGGAGACATAGTCACATTTTCTGCTGTAGTCTGTTTCCCGATGAACACACAGAACCCCCCTTTTTTGTCTCATCTGTGACCACTTGTCGCACAGGCCACCTTGCTCACACCTGGGCCCTGGGGTGGGAGCTGGCTCAGTGTTGGGATCACCTCAGACATGGCTTCACCACAGTATTTACTACAGTGCAATGTCCCAGAGCACTGGACACTGGAGTCAGAGCCAGAGGCTGGCATGTCCTGCAGTGGGCTACTGACACTCCTCCAATCCTGGCCCAGCAAGGACTGTCTGGCTGTCTAACGCAAGGACTGTCTGGCTGGACAAAATCAATCAAAAGCAAAGGTGCATAACTTGCAATGAGGCATGATATAGACCAGTGGTGCTCAACCTGTTTTCATTCGCGAGGGGAAAAAAAATAATTCCCTTTGCAAGGTCCAACTCTACCTGACTTTTAGCCTTTCTCACTTTGTCCCTACATGCTCTAACCTCAATAAGGTAGCTTTCTTTACTGATCCCTCCCATTTTCCACTCCTTATATGCTTTCTGCTTTTTCTTAATCACCTCTCTGAGATGCTTGCTCATCCAGCTTGGTCTAACACACACAGCCAGCTGGCCAGCTTTCTGCACTCTATCCTGAGTATTCTAATTTTTTTTACCTGTAAAATGGTAGCCCTTCCCCCTCTACACCATCCATCACCCCACCCCACCCATGTGGCATCTGAGCCACCTTCTGTAAATATTAGTTAATTCATTTCCCACGCAGCTGGTTGGAAGTGTCCACATCACAGCACAAAGACAGGCAGGGCCAGCTTGGGGTTACACAAGGACACAAGCAAAGAATACCTTTGAATCCCAGCCCACCTGCTTCCATCCACTGGGCCCCATTCCCATCGAAGTCCTGGGGAAAGAACCCAGGAGTCCTGGCTCCCAGCCCCCTCAGCTCCAGCCCTCCAGACCCCAATCCCCTCCCAGTGCCAGGGAAAGAAATCAGGAGTCCTGACCCTTTGGCTCCAGCCCTCCAGACCCCAACCCCTCCCGCACCCCTCTTGCTTTGATCACTGTGCTAGGGGAAAACTCATCAATAGTGTCGTTTGTGACGTGGGCGCAGGGCAATCTGGGTTGATGAGCATTTGGGGGTGATGTGCACACACGCGGAGCTTCCTTTTGTGTCTCTCAAACCTGGCAAAGCCGGACAGGTAAGATGCTTAACCTGGAGTCTGGGGAGCTGTGTTCTGGACCCAGGGGTCCCACCAACTCCCTGTGTGACCACGGCTATGTCACGTAGCCTCTCGTGCCTCAGTTTCTCTACATGAGAAGTAACAGTCTTCTCTGTGGCAAGCGTTTCAAGGTGTGGGATGCCTCTCCACAACAGGGCCCTGATCTCTGTCGGGGTCTGGGCTGTGCCCAGCACAAAGGGGGCCTGATCTCAGCCAGAGTCTGTGCAGCTTCCAGCACAGCAGGACCCTGCTCTTGGCTGGCCTCTGGTCAGTGGCTGGTCAATGTTGCCCTGATCTCTGCCAGCTGCCCCTGGGATACAAGGCACTCACCGGCTGGGCTCCGCCTGCTCAGTGTCTCGGACGCGCCCGGGAGAATGAAACTCCCCAGCCCGCTGCTTCTCTTTATCTCACCTGGCCAGGGCTGGGAACCAGGAGCCCCCGCCTCCCTCCCTACCTCCCTCCTCGAGTGGTTCTGGCAGCAGCCCAGCTCTTGCTGTTGCTGTGTGTGTGTGTGTGTGTGTATCCATATGTGTATGTATGTGTGTGTGTTTGCATGTGTATGTATGTGCATATGTGTGTGAGTACCCATATGTGAATGTGTGCATTCCTGTGTGTGTGTGAGTGTCCATATGTGCATGTATGTGTGTGTCCATATGCAGGTGTGTGTGAGTGTGTGTGTGTTTGGCCTAATGAGAGATTCCAGGGGAGAGGCAGGGAAGCCCAGTGATACAGTCAGGGCACGACTGAACCTGAGCTAAGGATAAACCTGCAGCCACGAGGCCACAGAGATGGACCTCTGGGGAGACTCCCTGCTACCTGCCTCTTCTGGACGATGCCCTGCCCCTGCTCACTGCTCTGAGGCCCGTCCAAACCTCTGACCAGGCTGGGGAGGCAGGGCCAGATTTCCAGTTAGGTCCTGGCTGGGTCCTGTCCCCAGCCCAGTGGGGCAGTGAACCCTATGGGTTAGAGCTGTGGGATGGGGAGTTAGGACTCCTGGGTCCTGTCCTCAGCCCAGCGGGGGGAGTGGGCTCCAATCAGGGCTGGATTAACATTTTGTGGGCCCCCACGTAGTCGTTATCAGCCCCTTCCAGGTGTGGCCTGGTGCGATCGTAGGCCTGGTGCGGAGTCTCAGCTACTGCTCATTGGGATTGCCCCCATTTGCATGTGCTGCCACACGAGGGATGTAATAGTGCCGTCGATTAACTGATTAGCCGATAAGCAAAAGCTGATTGGTTAATGCTGTAGATGAGATGCATTTGCCCCCTCCCTTGCCCCCGCTTGCCAGTACATTTTTTAGCAGGCTGGCCAGCAGTCCGGCTCAGTCATGGCTTGTGCTGGGTCCAGGACCTCCCCCCGCTGCGGCTCTGCATTTAAAGTGTATCAGTTCTGGCTCATGCTGGGTCTGGGAGCTCAGACCACCCCCTAGACAGGGGCTGCTGCCTTCCCACGCTGCTGTCTCTTTATCAGAGGCAGCAGCACAGGGCAAAAGGGAG